TCTCTCTCTCCGCGCCCTCGCCGGCCGCATCTCGCGCGGGTGCCAGGGGGCTCCGGGCACGTTTCGGTGTCCCTTCCCTCAGCCAGCGGAGACTCCGCCACACAGCCGCTGCCGCTGCGGCCACCGCCCGAGGGGACCTGCGGAGAGCACGCCGGCAGGAGGAGGGGTGCGCCGCGGTGCGCAGCGCCCGCACGGAGCGTCGCCCCGGCCGCGCAGCGAGACCCGGGCCTCCCGGCCCCCGGAGCCCCCAGCCGCCTCGATAGGCGTGTGGGACTGAAGTTCTTGGAGCAGGCAGTCCAACTCTTCAAGGTAACTGTCTCCGTCCCTCCAGAGACGCTCTCCCAGGGCGCCCGGCCAGCCAGGAGCGGGCTGAGGTGGCCGCCTCTGTGCCGCCCTGGACATGTGTGTGCCGGGGGCTGCCCACACCCACCGGCTGCGTCCGCGGTGGAGTTGAGCAAACTTTCGGTCTGTTGCAGACTCAGAGTGAATGGGGCGAAGGAACACGTGAGGAGGGGCGCTTATCTCCCAGTCCCCCAGGATTAAGGAACAAGAGAGCCTTTACTCCAAACTCTTGTGTGCTTTCAAGTCCTAGGGTCTGGAAGGACCCACAGCTGACAGAATAGCGGCTTTAGAGTTGAGGAAACGTGGGTTCGAATCCCCGCCGTGCTACTTTTGAGCTGGAAGAGATGCTTCATCTTCCTGAGCCTGGGCCTGCCCTCTGTCCTCAGGGAAGGGGAGGCCTCCCGGGCAGGCATAAATGAAATGAGGTAGACAGTATGTCAGGTACACAGCAGGTGCCTAAGCTGAGACTGAGACAGACCGTTGGTCCCGCTTCCTTGGCTACTTGGCTTACTCCAGGGGCCACAGTGTACCTAAAGAGGTGGAGGGAAGCCCAGAGATTGGCAGAACGTGGGACAGGGCCAGCGAACTGCCGGCAAGGGAGGTCAGTGCTCTGAACATGCCGGTGTCCACCGAGAGGCGTTTCTCAAGGAAGAACGAGGAGGGGAGATGAGGACACATGACCACGGGCGGTGTTTCCAGCTCTGGGTTCCTCTGCCAATGAAGCCAATGCTGGTGGAGCAGGAACCCTTTCCAACCCTGGGGTTGGGTTGGAGGCTGCAAATGTGTCAACTGAGCCCACATTCTAGGCAGAGCAAGCTGTGGGGGTGGGGGCCTGTCTCCGGTTGGGGGACAGGATCCAACCCAAACTTTTCCATCATTATCCTGCTTCCAGTCTGTGAGCTGTGTTAAGACAGGATTCTACTAGGGTTTCACCATTAAGAAGCTCCAGTTCCTACATTTTGATTGATGGGTAAATTCCATTTCTGTGGGGGTGGCTGCCAGGAGGAGAAGGAGGAAGATACCATGCTGAATTGGGTTAGCATGGTGTTTCGTCCTGGGTGCTGCAGTGGGTGGGTGTCTGGCAGTTTAGGGCGAACTCTGGATCTTGGAAACACACTCATCTCATCTCAAGAGGAGGGCAAGCGAACCCAAAAAGGTGCAATGGCTTTCTAAAGTCACTCTCTGACTTGGGGCAGGACTAGAGTCTAGGTGATGCCACAGTCAATCCCTCATCCTGATTTGAGAGTCCAGAAGTCTGTACTCTAATCCTCATCTCTCTTCCTTGCCTTTCTGGTTGCCATGGACAAGGAGCGATGGGGCTGCCCGCGTCCTGGGCTAGGCGGTTTGGGAGGCACTGTGGGGATAGACGGCAGAGTTGGCTTGTCATCGCGGAGTCCAGGGGCCAAAGGGGATGACAAGCCGGAGGCTTGCTGAGGGTGGGAGCGTTGGGGGACGGGGAGGGCAGTATTTCTAACCTGAAGGAAAAACTTACAGAACGAAAGATCTCCCAGTTTTAAAAGTTTCAGATTAAATTATCAAAAGGCAGAAGGTATCTCTCAGAGGAATGCTGGAATTCCTCAGGTTATGCGGAGCTGTGTTTAATTTAGACGTACTCATGTATAGATTCTAGCGCTGCAGGATGTTCATTCATTCCCCACTATCTACTGAGCGCCACCTAGGTGCCAGGCTCTGTGCTCAGTGCTGGCCCACGGCGGATACTCGATAAACAGTAACTGTGAGGTGACCCAAGCAGAGGGCTCAGCACCGGCACTGCTGCTGGGCAAGTACTCAATAACTGTTTGGTATTATTACTACTATTATTATTATTATCAGTTCTAATAGTAAGTAGAAGTTTTTCTTTTCCTAGAATTTGCAGTGCAAATTGTACTTAAATGGGGATTCTTGATTTAATGTTTGAAAGCCCTCATCGCGCGCAGGCCCACCTCTTGCCCCTCCTCCCCATCTCACATGCGCACCCCATCCCAGGTGGCTCCTGACCCCTGCATGCCAAGGTGCTGCGCTCTCCCTCCTCTGAGAGAGAGCTCACCTCCTGCGATGGCGGGGAAGAGCCGGGAAGACGGGCAGCCTGGCGTGCAAGGCAGACCTGGGCTCGAATCCCAGCTCAGCCACTTACTGGCTACATGACTTAGATGAGGTTACTGAGCCTCCCTTTCCTCTTCTCTAAAGTCAAGATTTTCTAGATCCCCAGTAGGGGATTTTTGTGGGGATTAAAAGACACAATGTGGGTGCCTTGTCCAGCTGTCAGCGGGCACCACAAACCTTAATTCCTTTCCTCTAATGGCTCCTAGGTCCCCTTGGGATCACAAACCCTAAGTTCAGGCTAGTACCAATTTTGAATATTCTGTCTTGGTTGGAAGACTGCGTGTCCCAACTTTTGGTGTGATTTTTTAATGATGTCTTCTAGAACTGGGTCCCTCCCAAGGCCCATCTTATTGGGCACTTAGACCTCAGCTGAGCAGAGGAAGCCCTGCTTGGAGTCCCACTGCTGGTCTCTCTCTGCTCCTGCAGGAGTGTCTAGCAAGGATTTGTGCCGCTGCAGGTTGAGAAACAAATTTAGTGGGGGTTTTAATGAAATAGGAAGAATAGGTAACCTCATGGTGCCTCCCACCTAGTATGTAAGGGTAAGTATTATTTCCAGAAACTTGTATTTCCGTTCTATATTTTATAGCCCTCAATGAGGGTATGTGTGTTTATAATATAAATGTATCTATGAAAATATATACAAATTTTATATTTGTATCTTTTTTTTTTTTTTAACTTCGGGTTGGATTGCAGTCAAAAAAGTTTGTAAGACTCTGGTCCCGATGATGTTTCTCTCTCTGAGGACTTCCTGCCCCAGGGCTCCAGGTGGTAGGCTCTGGGGCATTCTTGCTGCCACTGTACCGACACCTGGACTGGACAGTGAAGGGTCCTGGGGTGGATGCTGGGGGTGAGAGGAAAGGCAGTTCAAGGAAGAGGACCCAGAATCAGAGAGGAAGAAGGGGTGGAGGACAGGTCTGCTTATGAGTGGACCAGGGGAGGGCACAGAGCCAGCCCTGCCCTGGGAAAGGGGTCTGAGAGTGGGGGCACATCTTGGAAACAGGAGCCTTCCTCTCCCGCTATCACCAGGGCCCGGCCCCGCCGCAGTCTAGGCCCTGACGGGAGCTTGGCTGCTGGCCTCTTAACTTAACTAAGCCCTGTTCAGTGGGGTAAAGGGGCCCATCTCTGTGGCGTCTCTCCTAGGGTGGCTGCCCCCTTCCCCTAGAGCCAACGGGACGCAGGCATCCCTGCGAGGGAGGGGTCGGTTGGAGATGCAGTCTGCAACAGAGGGGAGGGCCGGGCAGTGGGCAGGGCCCGGGAGGGCTGGATGGAGAAGCCAGAGTGCAAGCAAGAGGAGGACCAGGGAGAGGGGGAGTTTGTAAGGAAAACGGTAAAACGGTTCCTTTTTTCAAAAGTTGAATCCAGGGCAAGAACGGAAACGGTGGAGTTTACTTTTAAAAACTCAGAGCCTCCTTGTAAGCAGCCGAGTGTGTGTGTGTGTGTGTGTGTGTGTGTGTGTGTGTGCTGGGAGGGCGGGTCCTGCGGACTGGCCTGGCCTGTGAGAGGTGACTTCTCTCCCTCTCAATAGCCTTACAGTGTATCCTAAAGAAGCTTTTTGTTAAACTCATGAATAGGTGGATTTGGGCATCACGATTTGGATATTTGGTTACCTTTGAGGTTACATGTTTTTCCTTTTAAGACGTACGCTCAAAAAAGGAGCTACCTCTGCTGTGTAGGGTCGCTATTTGAGGGGAAAGGGGTTGCCTGTCTCTCTGTAATTGATTGACTTCAGGGGGGAGGGTAAGAAGGAGAAACACAGGACTGGGCGTGTCTGCAGTGCCTGGCCTGAGCGACTGCCCCTCCTCCACCCCTGCTCTCGGCAGTCCCAGACCACGGATGCCCAGGGCCTTCAGGGCCGGTGATGGCACAAAGGGGACCCAGGCCCAGAGAGGGAAAGGACTGTGCCCCAGACCACCCCAGAGTAGGCTGGTAAGGATGATGTGGACAGGAATCCAGACCTTCGGGGCCCTCGTCCCAGAGCATGCCGTGCTCACAGAGACCACTCATTCATTCATCCACGCGTCATTCTTTCAGCAGCACTTGCTGCGTGCCAGATACCGTGCTAGCTGCGGGTAACACGGCAGCAAATAAATCCACTCTCCCTTCTGCCCTCTGCCTACTCACAGTCTGATGGGGAAGACAGGCTGCAACTGACACTGACCCTTCATTTCTATGAGGCAGTGGTTCTCAACTGGGGACTACTTTGCACCCCTGGGAACATTTGGCCATGACTGGAGACGTTTTTATTGTCACCATGGGAGAGTGGGATGCTACTAGCATCGAGTGGGTAGAGGCCAGGGATGCGGCTAAGCATCACTGTACGGGGAAGCACCCTCCCACACACATGCAAAGTAGAGAATTATCTGGCCCAAAATGTCGAGGGTGCCCAGGTTGAGGAACCCTGCTCCAGACCTTCATTCGGTTACTGGACCGGGCCACCCCCATCTGTGGATAGGGGGCCAGAGGGAGGGTTTGGTAGACGACAAATGCGAAGAAAAAAACAACAGGCAGGGCCACAGTGGTGAAGTAGAAAGAACGCGGGCTTTGGTGGCCCAGATCTAGGCTGTGTGCCCTTGGGCGAGTCAGTCATCCTATCTGGGCCTCAGCCTCTGCATCTGTGAAATGGACTGGCCGGGCAGTTGTGAGGGCTCAAGATAAAGCAGATAAAGGACCTAGCACCAAGTAGGTCTACAATAAAATGGCAGCTGTTGTTATTATCTTTGAGGGTTTTAAAGGTTCCAGTATGGAAAATTACAGCATCAACAGGTTCAGTCATGTGATCATGAAGCCAAAGAAGATTGTTGTTTGGGGCAGGGTTGCCATAGCAATCCCTTCTGCTGGGCGGGGCAGTGGGTGATGTCAGCATC